TAACTCAGGACATCATCATGAAGATCCTAGAGAAGAAGAATGTGGAGGTGAATTTCACAGAGTCGCTGCTGCGGATGGCCGCTGATGACGTCGAAGGTGAGGGGGAGACGGGGGGGGGGGGGCTCCTGCCGTTCGCTTCGCTTCCAGGGGAAAGACGAGACTGGCACTGTGGTGAAAAATGAGGTTTCTCTGCCGCTCCCTGCCGTTCCTTTCTGCTCTTTGCGGTCTCTGCTGGCGGTAGCTGTAATTACACACTTATTGCCGTGCTGCTCTTCTCTCTCGCCATGATTTGTGTTCCTTGTGTCACTGCCTGTGTGTGTGTCTGTGCGCACGCGCGCGTGTTTCTGTGTGTGTGCGTGTGCGTGCACGTATCTGTGTGTGTGTGTTTGTGTCTGGCTGCTTGACAGGAACAAAGCCCTTCTCTTGCTCATAGGTGGTGCTGTTTCACCACAAATACCAAACTGCTGCCTGAAGCTGCCACCCCCCCACTCCCTGCCCCTGTATTTTTATATTCACCCTCTGCGATCCCTCCCTTCGTTGTGCCGCCAATGGCTAGAGGTTGCGTAGCTTAAAACTGTGGATTATCAGCCTGGCCAGGGTGTTCCCAGTCTGGTTCAAGCTCTGCATCTCCACGGCTGTTTCGCCTCTGAGGTGGGTGGGGTTTTCGCCAAAACCAGCTCAGCTCAGTGGAGCTGAAACTTTTACCTGCTGCATTTTACCTTCTCACCCCCACCCCCCCGAGTCATCGACCTGTCTGTTTCCACGGTGACTGACGGTGCGTTTTGTCTGTCGGTGTGGCAGAGTACATGATTGACAGGCCGGAACAGGAGTTCCAGGATCTGAATGAGAAGGCGCGGGCGCTAAAGCATATCCTGAGCAAGATCCCCGACGAGATCAATGACCGAGTGCGCTTCCTTCAGACAATCAAGTGGGTCTTTCGCTTATCCACACACACACACACACACACACACACACACACACACACACACACACACCCACCCCGGAATGGCAGAAGCCATGCCTCGACTGAATTAATATTGCCTTCACCGCAGCTTGCCAAAAGTAATTTTGTCATTTAATTTCTACTCCCAGTTTTATTTGCTTTTTGTTTCCCATTTCCTTTTTTTTTTTTATTCCAAATATCTAAATATTTGGTCTTATTTGACACTCTGCGCTCTGACTTTCTCGGCCTGCGAGTTTAGATCCTGATTGGCTATGGAGATGCGTGCTCGCCCTGATATGAGTTCGCTCTCGGTGTGAGAGTTCGTGTGGCTCTGCCATCTGGAGCTGATCTGTGTGCTAACTGCTGTCCGCAGAGACATCGCCAGTGCAATCAAGGAGTTGCTGGATACCGTGAACAACGTCTTTAAGAAATACCAGTACCAGAACCGCAGGGTGAGCGCTGAAAACCGTTCGATCTGGGCCTCCCCGGCCCAGCCTCTCTCCTCACCTCCTCCAGGGGGAGGTCCTCTTTCTCCAAAGATCTTTGTGATAAATAATCCAATATGCCTCCTAACTCTGGTTGGAGCTGAAGGCTGTTCAAGGGGTGGGTGGGAAACCTACATTAGTGTTTTGTTTTTTTTGCTTGTTTGTTTCCAGGCACTTGAACACCAAAAGAAGGAATTTGTGAAGTACTCCAAAAGCTTCAGCGATACCCTCAAAACTTACTTCAAAGATGGAAAGTAAGTTGTACTGATTTATTCTCTTAGATTCCAGTTAACCCATGTCTTTATTTATTTTTTTGTTTTTAAAAAATTGACATTTATTCTGTTGCTTTGCTTATCTTGATTATCTGGGCATTGGTGGTTTGATGGTTAGGGAAGCGCACTTGTAATTGTGAGATTGCAGGTTTGAATTCCCGACCAGCAAGGCACCACTGAGGTACCCTGAGCAAGGTACCGCCCCCAAGCACTGCTCCCCGGGCGCTGAATTAGCTGCCCCCTGCTATGTCACAACGTCACATACGGGTTAAATGCAGAGGACACATTTTGTTGTGTTTTGTGGTGTGTCAACAATGATCACTAAATTCTAAATTCAGTTCATATTCAAATTTAAGTAGAGGAGGTGTTGTCTTGTGTTCTCCTCCTATCACCCATGTTCTGGTCATGGCCTTATGGTTTTGGTATTTGGTCCTTTACATTCAGAGGGTGTGTATGTGTGTGTATTACATTGTGGGGACCTAATCTCCCCACAATGATAGAAATCTGTTATTTTGATGATCTGGGGACCGTTTTTTTTTTTTGGGAAACTCAGTTCTTTAAAATTAAGTGACTGCGATCAAAAAACTAAAAATGTAAAATGTTTTACTTTGGTTACTTATGGTTAAGGATAGGGCTCGGTAGGGGTTAAGGTTGTCATTGTTGGGATTAGGGATTTTCCTAAAGATATGAATAGACGGTCCTCACAATGATGTGAATACAAGCGCGTGTCTGTGTGCCCGCCTGCGCTGCGTAGCCTGACCATGCCCAAGGCCTAACACCGTGAGAAGCCCAGTCTGACATTGTCCACTTTCTTCCTCTCTCTCTCCTCCCAGGGCGATAAATGTCTTCATCAGCGCCAACAGACTCATCCACCAAACCAACTTGATACTGCAGACTTTTAAGACTGTAGCCTAGAAGCCCCTGCCCTCTAGAGGCGTGGTGATGTTTTAAAAATTGGATAGAATAACCTTTATGTAAAATGTAAAGTTTTTTTTTTCCTTTTTTTTTTTTTTTTCCCTCTTTCATCATCTTTTTGGACTATAATTTATAAGTCTTGCTTCATGGGGGAGGGGTCCTGAGGCGGGCATTCTGAACTGTATAATTGCCAGCTTTTATAATTTCTTACGTTTTCTCCTCCTAATCACGACCTCGCCACAGTGATTGTCGCTTCCTGTCTTTCGCTGTCACCACTGTTCTATCCAAAAAAAGCCAAAAAATCGCTCGCCTTAAGTGTCATGTGACATTCCTTATATGAAATGTAAATATTGGTCCGCTGACATTCTAACTTGAAGAGTAAGACGTAAAACACAAGTTATGTATTTAACACATCGGTGGCAAATGTTCAAATAAATAGTTTACATATGTAAATGTGGCTTCAATGTCGTCTTTTCACACGGGAGATGGAGTTTCTCTTTCTGCTTGTCCTGGTTTCAGCCTGTGGTTCAACTTTAGGCTGCATCCAGGCGCAGCCTCCTACCTCAAGAAGTCACTGTCCCCTCCAAGTGACGCCCTAACTGCTCATCCCCCTGCCTGGTGATTTTTATTTTATTTGAATAATTAAATCCCTAACAGTCAGAATCTCTGGAACGGACTGATTGACTCATTTCTTAATTTTTTACTTATTTAGTTTTTTTTCCTCGCTTCCGTTTTCCTTAAACGAGCCGTCCCCTGTTAAAAGCCCGAGCATTTTTCTCAGCTTGTTGGGATGAACCCCAGAAAGCCGGCAGGGCCTCGACAAATGCCCCCGACCTTATAAAATTCAGTGCTCACTGAAGTGCCCAGTCATAACCTCTGCAGGCCCCCCCCCCCTGGCCTGAATTCCTCTTTTGGAGGTGGCTTAGTTTGTGTTGTGTTGTTTCGGGGCTAAGATTAAGGTCTCGTGTGTCCAGTCTATGAATAGGAGTGGCCTAAACGCGCAAACACTATGCTTTCGCCGAGTTGGTTGCCGGGTAACGTATCTAAGGCGTTGGGGTGGGGGTGGGGGTTGGTGAAAGAAAAGTCTGAGTTTGTGTAAAGGCCCTATTTTTGTGGCTTCTTGTTTCTGCAGTGCGGCGTCTAGGATTTACAGCATGGGGTTATGTTGGGAGATGTGACATGATAAATCGGCAGAGAACTTGTGTCTGGGGGCCGCTATGTGATTACGAGCCGAAAGTGAAGAGTGCCTTTAGACAAATCCTGGCCATTAGGTGACAGGTAGGCTGCTCGCTCTTCCTTGCTTTTGTTTGGTGTGGGTTTCCAGTGCCGAATCGGCCATTAAACTAGCCTGGATTACTCAGTTCGGTCGAAACAGCCTCAGTGCACCTGAACGCGTGAACCTTCAGGTGGGGCTTTTATAAATTGCCGATGTGTTTCTGCACCGTAGCTCTCTGAGTGCCTGGTGGGGCCTTTCCTCCGGGAGCTGACTTTGTCTGGCCCGCTGCTGTCTCCCCAGAGGAGCCGTCACCGCCTGATCTTGTGTCCTCGTTCCCTGGCTTTTCTTGGCCCCTTAAGTCAGATCCCTCTCTGCGTCTTGTCACTTTGACGGCGTCAGGAACCCTCCGAATGCCTGTGCCTGATTAAATTCTGCGGCCCGGCACAGCTCGCTGTTTTCTCCCGGCACATCAGTGTGCCGGCGTGATAAAGCGCCTTTCCTGCCCCTTCCCCGCCGGTATAAATTATTTACGGTTCTGAACACCCGCTGACTTGACTAGAGCTTCTGGTCAACGACGCCAATTCTGCAGAAGTTCTGCCCGAGACGGGGAAGCCGGAGACAATGGAAACCATGGAGACCAGGAAGGCGGGCGAGATGCTGGAGAGCCGGTTAAGCTTGGAGGACCTGGTGAAGATGCAGAGCCTCTTCTCGGTACGGTGGGAATTTTTTTGTGATTGTGTGTGTGTGTGTGTGTGTGTGTGTTTAAAGGAATCACAAATGGAGACAAACATGTAAAAAATAATTAATGCATGGTTCAGGTTTGAAACGCGCAACCCTTCAGTCCACAGCCCAGGCAAATGTGACCTGAACTTCATGCAAAATATGCAAAGAATTAGGGTAATTCAACATGACTTACTGTGTGGCCCTTGACCTATGACCCTGCATGCCCCGCCCCCTCCATGTAGGCAGATGACTCGGCTGAGACATCGACCCTGATGAGGGTGGATTTTGTGGAGCAGGCCGCATCTGCAATTGGCCGCGGCTCCCCGGAGGAGTTTGGGCGGATGTTCGACGGGGCAGACGTGTCACGCCAGGGCCGTGTGGGCTGGCCGCAGATGGCTTCCTTTCTGCTGCTGACACTGTCCGAGAAGGACGAGCACACCCGTGCGGCCAGCGCCCCCTGCTGGAGGCCCCTGCGCGCCCTGCCGCTCGTGCACCGGGGGCCTGTCCAGCACGTGGCGCACCTGGCCACCTCCGACAGGTACCTCAGCGTGAGCCAGGAGGGCACGCTGGCCGTGTGGGGGGATGAGCTCACACCGCTGAAGACTCATCACGTGAGCACGGACTCTGTGAAGCGTGGGGACCTCTGGGTTTCAGGCATGGCGGTGCTGCAGAACGTGCAGAAGGTACGGACAGCCGTGTCTGCAGTGCTCATCCCTGTTTACGCTCCCTGCCCCCTTCTCTAGCTTGAAAGGGACTCTCTTTTTTTTTTTTTTTTATTGAGGACATTTGAAGTGGATGTTCACTATTATATTCTTTGTGTCACAAATATAGAAGCAGACTGATGAGCTGAGATAGGATTCCTGCATGTTGTTAATAAAAGGGCCGATTTAAATATCAAAGGAACAATGTACCTTTTCATTCTACCTTTCTAAACAAAGGCCTATGCCTTTCTGCACAATAAAGACAGAGGACGGGCACCATCGAGCCTCCAGCTGTCCTCCCTCTCTCTCTCTCTCTTCCTCTTCCTCTCGTTCTCATTCACCATCCCTCTGCGCTACAGCTTCGCATTCCCTTCTTTATATTATTTGCATGACAAATGTGCTTTCATATTTCATATTTCCAAATCTGAATCTGAAGCATCGGTGGAATAAAAGATCAGCTTGTAATTGTGAATGACGTGAATTGTTCAGGTTAAAATGTAAATATAAATTGCAAGAGGTTTATTTAATTGCACAATTTTATAATGAAATATAATAACTCGTAATTATGACATCAATTAAACTTCGTTTAGAGCGATGAATAATGAGGATTCTAATGTATGTAAAACAGTCCTAGGATGGAATTGCTGTGACTCTTGTCTCTGGATGTCTGTCGGACTGGGTACTCCAGGACGCTAACCGATTATCCCCCCCCAGGTCGCTGTGAGCTTCACCAGCAAGGAGATTGGCATCTTCGACCTGCTGTCCAAACAGGAATTCAGCTGCCAATACAAGCTGCAGGGACTGAAACACCCACCCATCTGCCTGGATTACTGGTCCAACCCACACAACCCTGATCAGGCCGTCCTCAGCTTTGGGGACATGGGGGGACAGGTGCATTTTTAAGTGTTGCATGCGCACCGCGAAGTGTAGCGATAATCAAACTCGGGGAAAGAAGCCAGTTGGCCAGTTAGAACATATCCTTTCCTTTTTCTAATGATTACACCCTCAGAAATCACACCACTCACTCAGTCGCACCAATATATAACAGTTAAATGAAGGTTTCAGTATTTCTTCACATCAAATTATGTGTGTAATTTACACGAAGCGCTACATCTTTCTTTGCCATTTGAGGTGAAGTGTCCGACTTGTTGGAAAAAATGATAGTATTCCAGCATTGAATCTCCCTGACAGTGCTCAGGAATGTAGTTACCGGCCAACAGCGCCCACTGCAGGGTTTCCATCTGCTGCCGCGATTCACAGTAATGGGTGATGCCTGCTGGTTTGCCTGTGCTTACAGGTGAACGCCATCTGCTTCACAGCAGCCCACATATCCTTGTTTGAGAGGCCCAGCACAGGGGCGGGGCACAAGTCTGATGTCATCAAGTGGGCGGAGTTAGTGCAGGGACATCATCGGTGCTGCTATACTCTTCAGCACCACGCTCACGGGAATGACTGGGTCCGCCGAGGTGAGGGCTGACCCTTTGTAGCCACTCCCTCATTCCTCCCCTCCTCCACACCTCATCCCACCTTGTCTTCCTAACCTCCCTAGACCTCATTTGTTTGGCCCCATGTCTCCAGACCTCATTTGTGTAACCTTGCCTCCCTCAGACCTCATTTGTTAAGTTGTACCTCTTCCACACCTCATTTCTTTAGCCACGCCTCCCCATGCCTAATTTGTTTAGCCCTACCCCCCCAAACCTCATTTGCTTGGCCCCTCCGCCAGAACCAAGTCTGGGTTTGCCTTCATAGGAGCATGTTGGTGGTGTTTTTATTCTGGTTAATGGCCCAGTTTTTCTAACGTTACACTGCTGGTTCTGTTGCTGGTCATGCTCGGACTGGGTCTAGAGCACCGATAGGGCTCTACTTAACCACCTTAACGATTCACTTGCATGTCGCCATAGATACAGAATTATTTCTCCGCTTCGGCCCCTGATTCCTCTCTCCCGCTGCCCCTGGTTAACTGTGGGGTTTTTAAACCTGGTTGACATTCGCAGTCGCTATGGCAGCACGCCGCCGGTGGCTATCTTAATTGCATCTTTAATGGCATTCCAAGCCGGTGTGTTCTGCCGTGGGCTCGGGCCAGGCCGGGCTGGGTGGGACCACTGAGCTCAGGTGGGCAGTTTATGGAGGGTGAGGGAGAAGCGGGATGCCAGGATAACGAATGCAGCTGACTGGACAGAAAAATGAGGAAAACACCTAGAAGGATGAGCAGATATGCAGGCGAGCAATTAGAGGCACACTGTGGACGCGCATGTTTGTTTTCTCTGCCTCTATCGCCCCCTACTGAGCATCCCCTGTCTTTTTGGAGTATGAAATAGTCTGGTGCTGTGCATTAACCATGATGCGGAGCACCTCACCGAGGGGCCGGCAGCCATGTTGCTCCCACTGGTGCTGACATTAAGCTGAGTGTCCCGTTTGGATTTGAGGGGTGATGGTTTCTGTGTGGCAGCGTATACAGGGGCGGGCCCCCAGCTGAAAGATAATTGGCCCCCAGGGTGCCTCCTCCCCTGTCACTCACCGATTCAAAGCACATTACCGGCTAATAAGGTTAGCCCCTCTTATGCTCCACCCCCCCCTTGAAAACCCTACAGTTGCCTCTTTTTCTGAGGTTCCATGTGGCTCGCATGCTGCCATTGGCTTGCTAGAGCTGCAGGGGTCAGACCAGTCAGCCATAGTCATATGGATATCAGATCAGACAGGTGCTGTCAGCCTTGCTATTAATTACTATTATAAGCAGTTGGGCTTGTAACAGCTGTAATGGAAATAGGGCATCTCTGGAGGCTCTCAATGGCCAGCTGAGTCACATGACCTGACAGATTCCCTTCTCCCGTGTTCTGATTGGGTGACCTTTGACCTCCCAGTGAAGTTCCTGGGGAACCTGGAGGTCTTCGTGTCCTGCAGCCTTGGCAGGGAGAGCAGCGTGGTGGTGGCCTGGAGGGAGAAGGAGGCCACACCCCTGAGGGTGACCGCTGCTCACGTCGGGGGTGGAGTCAGTGACCTGGACTTCCATGCCGGGCTCAGCCTCCTCGGTACCCACAATCTTACCACGCTGATCTGCACAAACATCAGCAAAACAACCCAAACAACACAGGAGCTTCTCAATGCACCAGCAGGTCCGATTGAATTCAATTCCAGCCACTACTGATCAATTTCCCATCAACCTACTTAACATGGAAGTGCGAGGAGACCAGCAGAGTCATTGGACCAACACTATACATCAGGGGTGTCAGACTCCAGTCCTGGGGGGCCGCAGCCCTGTGTAGCTTTAGCTCTTTCCCTGTTCCAACACAAATGATTCAGCTCAAAAGCTCTGTCAATTTTAGCACAAGAAGTTGAATCAGGTGTGTTAAATGAGGGGAAACCCAAAAATGTGCAGGACTCCGGCCCCCCAAGACTGGAGTCTAACACCCCTGATGTCCTTCCATTTTTATTCTGGCTTAGATATTTCTTTTTTTCTCTTCTCTTTTTTAAATTTCTATACAAAACTATAGCTGATATTTATATTCTATACTAATACTACACTAATAATATATACTATACTATACTTGGTATTTATACACCACTATACTACACTGTACTGTACTTGACATCTATATACTATACTTGATAGATAGCAGTCTGATGCCTTTGTGATCAGGCTGGCATGCATCGCACGTCTCCCAATTTATCATTCTCCTCACTTCAGCCTCTAAGCAGATCAAGGTACTGACTTTTTAACCCTTATTGACATTCCATGTTAAGCCTCTTTCTTCATTTTGGATTACGGTCTTACCTGAGGGGCTTTGAAAATCAGCTTTAGGACTAAAAATCTGAAATCGGAGCTGCTTTGATGGTGGGTGTGAGGTATGGTGATGCCAGTGAACGGCACGGGTCCGGCTGTGAGGACAGACGGGGGGTTGCCGTGACGGCCGTGCCCTCCCCCCGCAGCCACGGCCGGTGTGGACGGGAAGGTGTGTCTCTGGAACCCTCACATGATGTCCAAACCCGTGGGCGTCCTGCAGGGCCACACGAACAGCGTGATGACTGTGCACTTCCTCCCAGACAGGAAGCTGCTGCTCAGTTTCTCCAAAGACAAGGTGAGAGGAGGAACTTTTGTTCCTCGTGTATCTTCACAGGGACGGTCACATACAGAGTAGAATAGTGATACTCTCTTAGTTCCCATCGGAAAATTTCTGTTTTTTTCCTGCCGCACCTTGCTCTCCATGAGACACACACTCAGTGTGCAGCACCCCGGGGACAACTGGGGATTAATGGCCCCTCTCAAGGGCGCAAGCGCTGCATCAGTTTACTGGCCCTGGGATTCGAACTGCCGACCATGCGGTGGTGGGGCTTGTGGTGAAAGTGATTAGTGAGGAAGAGGAGCTCTCAGAGAGTGTGAATTGTGATGATGGTGAGCGGTGCCCGGTGATAAAGATGAGTTCTCTGCTCCAGGTGTTGCGGGTCTGGGACGTGCACCATCAGCTGTGTGTCCAGCGCCTGACCGGGATCTTCCCTAAGACCCAAGAGTTCCGCACGCTGCTGTTCTACCACAAGGAGCGCGGGCGACTCTTCCTCACCTTCAACAACCTGCTGACCCTGCTGGAGGCAAAGAAGGACGAGAGTCGTGTGTGGACCAGCCACGAGCATGCGGTCACCTGCGTCGTCTACAACTCCTACTTGAAACAGGTGACTCACTCCTGCTGACGGGGTTTATCCTGCTCAGACTCATCCCACTCGTCGGAAACGGAGCTTAATTACAAAATAAGCTGTACTGAAATAGACGAATACATAGATAAATATTAATTATCCAGTACTGAGTTGATGATAATGCTATTCACATCGACCTGCTTCATTCGTCTGACCCTGTCAGGTGATCAGCAGTGATGCTGGATCTACTGTAATCTTCTGGCTCGTGGACACAGGCCACAAGGTCAAAAAGTTCACGCAGTGCCACGGAAACGCTGAGATCTCCACCATGGCACTGGATGGCACCCAGACCCGTCTGTTCACCGGCGGCACGGACGGCATGGTCAAGGTGAGCATCACCCATCGTTTGACCTCCACTGCTGTTGTAGTCACCATGGCAACACGGGGGGCATCACGCGCTCTCTGCCGCATTGAGCTTGCGTCACGTACTTACCTGTCCCAAGGAAACGGAGGCTTTTGGGAAGGGGGGGGCTGTCTGCCTTAATGAGGCTCACACAAAGCCCAGTGCTGCTGGGTTTTTTGTGTGATGTGATATATTTTGGCTGTTTTTGTTGTTGTTTTTCTCTTTGTTTGACTTCTTCCTTCCTCGTAGGTGTGGGATTTGAACGGACACTGTCACCACAAGCTGGAAGTGACCGGGGGGCGAGCTGTTGGGATTTCTCTCATTCTAGTGCTGAAGAGGTCGGTCCTGGTGTTGGGCTGGGACAGGTAGGTCTGTGCATCACGCCATGGACGGGGGGGGGCATGGCATGGTGTGATGTCACAAGGCTGATGCAATAACGTGGAATGATGTCATGAGGTCGGTGTAATAACAAAGTGACGTGGTGAGATTGACGTCGTATCCCCGGCTGTGTGTCTCTGCCCTGACAGGATGTTCACGGTGTTCAGGCAGAGCATGTTCTCCAAGTTCCATGTGCAGCCGTCTGAGTGGAAAGGGGGGGTCCAGCACCAGGATGATGTCATCTCCGCTGCCTTTTCGCCCCCCCAGACTCTGGTGACAGGTGTGTAGTTTCCTTCACGTCCCCGTTCACAGGCCTGTCCCCCAACCCCCCACCCCCCCGGGCCTGGGTTTCGCAGCCGGGGCTCCTGGCGTCTGCCGCCTTTAATTATTACATCGTCGTTATTGTTCTCTTGCTTGGCTAAAGTGACTTGGGAAGAAAGGGAAAATCAACGAGCAATTAAAGGTTTATTAACCTCCCGGCTCCTCATTAATACAAAGCGGGGCCGCCTCTTTGGCCTTATCGAGTTTCGGCACCTGGTGAGCCTGACCCCCGGCTGTGCGGCGCAGGGCCCCTCGCACAGGGAGACGCAGCAGCAGCCTGTCTCTGCGCTGCGTGTCCAAACCCTGAAGCCGGTCCCAGCTTCTCCTTTCACACGATTCCACATTTTACCCTCTTTGCTGTCACTTGCCACAGCCTTACGCCGTTCCTGCTCCCCCAGCTGCCACACCGCTGTGCCGGCCGGTCGTTAACCAATAATCTGTTTTACGTTTTGACAACAGCCGCAGCAACGTAATTTCAGTGAAACAAACCCTGAACCGAATCTCCAAACAGGCTGTGGGACAAAGCGCTGTTTGCCGGCGCAAGTCGACCACAGGAATAAATGTATATTTCGATGCTGTGAGTCAACGCGCCACTGGAGAGCGCTCTGACACGCGTCAGCTGGCGGATTCGGGCCACCGCCATTACACTCTTACCTTTAGCTGTAGGAATAAAGGGAAAATGAGCGGAGCAGGTTGGGGCACGGAGGTAAAACAGGGAAGAAGGCCAGAGGAAGCCTGGGGAAGGGAGAGATGGTCTGCGTTCGGAGGCAGACTAATGAGGCTGCTCCCACTCTGCCTCTCTGACTCCCTCCCCGGATTATGCTAATGCGCAGACGAAATGATGTTTATTAGTGCAAGACGGAGCGGC